TACGACTGAGACTTTCGCACTTTTTCTCCTGAGAGTTACTCAAAGAGCGACTCTTCCATCAGTGTTCAGGGATACAGTTCCCCGAAAGGTAAGAAAACCACGCGCCACTTTCTCTTGGTTATTAATTCTACTCCATTATTTTAAGAATTCTCCCCTCTTGTAGGATGTAACATTTTATCTGTAGCAAAATGGAAGAAAAACCAATCGAGTTTGTGAAATAACATGAAACATAATACAATCACTCATTATATGAATTCAGGATCAATACGTTCGACAATCTGCTTGGATAACACAGAAATGACAGGAACTCTCCACGAATATAAGAAATTGTGCCTTGTAGCGTTAATACCACTAGTACATTACAGGTAATATTAATGTGCTTTCACGTTTATATGCTTCCCTGTGAGCTAACTGAGCAAAAAAGACGATTTAAACTCGATGGAAAGATTCTGACCGTACATCTAACAGGTAGTTTAACTGAATATTCGGGTTAGACAAGATTTCTTTTTCACAATCTTTGACGACACACCTGGAGGTTACCACTGCTTGGGTACGCAAAAAATCTGGTACAGTTTAACGCTTCCAAAACACCAACAGCCTAGCGCTCATCCTGTTCCGAAAATTGTTGGCGAGTTCTACCAAAGAATCGTTCATTTCGGCTGGTTGGTTTCCAGATCATCAAGGCCTTGATCTGGCACGAACACTCCTCGTCAATAGCGGCAGCTGCTTTCCACAGCCTATGCTACGGGAAACTGTTTTTGAGAACATTATTATGTATTGTGGGAGTTTGTTGGTTTGTTTGTTTGTTGAAGATTTATGTAGCATTCATGCTACAAGGCCAATTTTGTATAATTATCTGTCACTATGGATTTTGATTATTCAGAAAGTGATTTTTTAATATCACCTTAAACATTTTTAAATTCGAACACTGTTTAATATCATTATTCAATTTATTAAATTCAAATACTCCCTTTTGAAATATATATTTACTAGTTATGCTACTATTACAAGATGAAAATCTATACTGCCTCTAGTTTCGTAGTTGTGATAATGACTATTTAATTTTATTTCCTAAATGTGGTGATGATAAATGATTTTTTAATTTGAATATGGAAACGAGAACTAAATAACATATGAAATTTTTACATTCAACCAATGTACTTCTTCTAACATAGACTTAATCCTAGCATATTTAAAATGATCCTCATAGCTTTACTTTGTAGAATTTGTAATTTTGAAAATATGTTATCATTTGCTGTAAACAAGATGGTTATATTGAAAAATAATAGAAATATACGTTTAGATAACCCATAAATCTATTATGTCAGGTAATCGGCAGAGTTCCGTCACATTGACAAAAATACTAAAACAGATCACAAGATTTCGAATGCGATAACAATGTTCGAATACTTCAATACAAATGCATTTTCAGCGGTGTATATTTGGAGTCCCCTAAAACATTTTTATGAAGAATTTCAATTCCTGTTTCTTTTATAATTATGAATCTGAAAGTATATCTGTATTGCGGAGTATTCTGATACACATCACACTAAAAGGGCATTAGTCACCGTCGGCTGTCTGTTTTGTTTATAAGGAAATTGTGGGAGGAGTTCAGTCAGTGACTCAGTGACTCAGCACCAGGACAATTTTTCAATCACTTCTTGTATTAAACTGCTTTCATTCATTTATTAACACATTAACATTACACACTGGGCGTACAAATAAACTTTGATATTATGTCATGCACATATGTATGTATATTGTGTATACATATTGTTTTTTAAATAAGGGTATTTGAAAAACGTTTATATAAGTACACATATTTTAAAATGGTATGAAGTAGTATGTATATAGTACAAATCCAATAATCCAGGGTGACAGTGAAAATTGAGTCAAGTAGTTTGACTCGATTTCCATTCTCAAATATAAAATTTAAAATCCACCCTCATACATATTGCGAGCATCCATCCATGTATGTGAGAATGAGTGGATTCGACAAACAATTAACAATATGTATGCTTAAATATGCACAATCTTAATAATTGCTTCTTTAAGCGTGTACATAGTCTATAAACGTTTTATTCTAGGGTACATATTTGAACATTTTTCAAGTTGCCTCTTTGTCTTTTATCTTATTGTACTTTTTTGCTTTAAGCAGTTAGGGTTATATTTATAACTTTTAAGTAAGACACATAAGTACAAATAATATACGTGTTGAGAGCACCTGTTAAGTTCTGAAAAAAAAGTAAAATTATATCCTACTAGTAGTTATAAATAGTTTAGAAATGTCAGTCACACTGACATATCTGAACAGGGAAGGCCACTTACATTGGAAATAAGTATGGATTATAATTCAAAGATGCATATACTACAAGACTGTCTCGTCAAAAATATGTAACATCTTGAACTATAAATAATATTGTGAAACTGTTTGTATACTTAAGTTATACTCATTATATGAGATCACTTCTAAGAAGTATATGTATAAATATAATCTATCTGTTAAGCCGTAGTATCAAAATAAAGTGTCAGTATGCTCAAAAAAACTTACCATAATTTGTTCGTATTGTACATCACTGGTATATTTATTCTTAGTTTATGCCTAGAATCCCTCCAATGAAATAAAAATTTATCACAACCAAAACACAGAAAAACAATAATTGATCTTATAACTATTAGCATATCATAGTACCTGGTTTTATCATAGTATACTTTCAAATCTTTCATCTTAAACGTAATAGAGAATGCAACTGCATAATGGATGGTCATTGCAATGTAAACAAAAAGGTAAAATGCATGACGTGTTATGAAATTGCTACTATATTTTAATTGTTATAACAAGTTAAACGGATCTATAATAAGCAATTCAAACTTTATATGAAAATAATTCTACAAGGTGGCAAATATATAACTGAATGATTTAAATTGCGCGCCATTTTTGATACCCGCATTTCAGAAGGTGGCGTCGTAGTAGTTGTTTAAAGCGCATGTATCCAATTTATCATGGAGTGCTACACGATCCCACAACGCGTCCGTATTGTTAAAACATTTTACTTAAATGAGTCGATTGTTGCAACGATTCGGAAGCTACGACAAGATTTCGGTCGAAATAATGTGCCCAGTGTCAACACCATTACTCAATTGGTGCGGAAAATTGGAGAAAGCAGGGTCGGGCTGTGTTCAAACTGTTCGTATAATACGAAAATATTGAGAGAGTTCGTGAAAGCGTAGCGGAGCGCTCAGAGTTGTCTACCAGACATCGTTCTCAAGAACTGGGTATTCGTCGCACGTCATCATGAACAATTTCTAAAAAAGTCTTGCATTTGCGGCCAGACAAAATTCAGTTAACCCAAGAAAGTCGCCGATAATACAGCTTAATACATAAAATAACGATTTTTACCGACAACTGATAATGAGCGAGGAAGCCCACTTCGATATGAACGGATTTATCAATAAGCAGAGTTGTCGTATCTGGGCATTAGAGAACCCTCGTGTCATCAATCAACGATCACTACGTCCTCGTCGAGTCACAGTTTGGTGCGCTGTTTGGTATGGAGCTTTCATTGGACCTTACTTCTTTGAAGACCCTGCAGGTGATCTTACTGTCACTGGCGAGCGCTGCCGTGATATGGTGCAAAACTTTCTGGCTCCTCAAATCCAATAATTTAACCTGCAAAACATGTGGTTGCAGCAGGACGGAGAAACTTGTCACACAGCTAGGGAAACAATGAATCTTTTGCGAACAATATTTCCGGGACGATTAATTTCTCGATTTGGTTATGTCAACTGGCCACCAAGTTCACCGAATTTAACGACACCTGCCTTTTTTATGGAGATTTTTGAAAAATAGGGTTTATGCCAACAAACTAAACACTGTAGAGCAGCTGAAGAACAATATTATGGAAGCGATTGAAGATAGTCCTCCCAAAAAGTGATAGAAAATGTAATCAAAAAGGCTCTGGTTCGCGCGGCTTCTAGAGGCGGACATTTGTCTGATATTATTTTTCATACATAATTTCAATGAAAGATTAAGATGAAAAAAATGGACGTATTTAATTTCATTTCACAGATATTTAAGATACAAACAGTCAGTTACATATCGGCCACCCTGTATATCAAGCTTCAAATGTTATTTATCGGGAAGTGAAGTATGGTCGCATTTTGAAGAATTTGCTCCAGAAGAGATCGGTATTATGGCATTTTGTTCATTATTATATCCATACAGTCATAACTTGACTCTGTGATTCGATGTTATTGCATTTAGGATCTTGATAGCGCCGTTCTAAAGTTATTCCATTTTTTTTAACGTTGACATGAACGAAAAGTCACGCCAAATATAACTCTACCATGTACGTACGTATTTAAAAAACGATAGGATTGCGTCAGCGGCTATTTGAACTAAATGAATACTAACATCACCGCCAAGGTGTAGTTACCAGAATGCGTCCAATAAGTTCGATCATAAACATTTCCATGTTTCTGTCACAATATTAAATAATCTCTTGCACCCGGCGGACATAATTTTACCTTTACCAGGTGGAATTTAATTCTCCATCTGGCAATATTTCAATAGATGAGAACATTTCTACTATCATTTTAGTGAATTTTCATTATTTACATACGCCAATGACAAGTGGTCTGTCAATTCAACTATATAACCGCAAATATACAGGGTATCTTCAAAGTTGGGACTTTCCTTTACAGAGCGGATACGTCAGGCAATAATGAGCATGTTTTTAGTAACATATAGGTGTATACCAAAGCTTTAAGATAACCGATATACATATGTATTAGGTTCCAAAAAGCAATAAATGAGCCTCCCCCCTCCTACACGTTTTTTTTTTTTTTTTTTTTTTTTTTTTTTTTTTTTTTTATACTCCAACTACCACGAAGGCCTAAGGCCTAAGCACCCATTGGGTACCGTGGGGCTATGGGGGATACATGGGAAAGGGGGGACGCCACACGGACTCTGGCGAGGGAACACGTGTGCATGCAACATGCACACATTCTGGCTCCGCCTACGAGAACCGCCGGGTGGTACCTCCGCGTTCGACAGTCAGAGACCATCTACCACCTACGGACAATTACAACATCCATGGCCAAGAGAAACATTTCTCCTGGGACGGGACTCGAATCCGCACAGCGCACGGCGGCTGATCAGGAGACCGAAGAGTCTACTACTGCGGCCACCGCTGCTGCCTAAAACAAACACACAACATCCATGGCGAAGGCGAGATTCGAACTCGCGGCCCGGCCGGCCGGCTGATCAGTAGCACGACACTCTGACCCACGCGGCCAACCGAGGTTAAAACGTATGATGTTAATGTACTAAGACTATGTGAGTCAATATCCAAATCAGGTTAACCTAGTTTATAAGTAGTTCGCATTTGAAAAACCGAAATTGGCACATTCCTAAAGAGACAAGGAAGTTATTGATTTGATATGAGTATCTTCAAGATCCTATTGATACTCCACGAGTGTATTCAGAACGTGGCCATCGTCCTCTTTAAATCAATTTATATTTGTTTATGTCGTGTAAAATCCGTCTGGTTGAAGACCTAGACAGCCCAAAATGTCACAAATTTAGGAAGATGTAAACAAACTCGTGTTTTTGAATCGAACAGCGACAACTTCAAGCAGTGTTTACAAACAAAAAGTGACAGCACAGCACATGAAATCCGTTACTAAATTAACAGTGAGTATTTTTCTTCAATTCCTTTTTACGTTTTTAGCTTTGGTATTGCAAACGTAGTTAACTCTGAAGAGGAAGTTCTAAGTTTCAGGAAACCCTGTATAGTGCGCATTGGTCAGGTTCTACACAGTACTATCCCAGAGTAGTGCCACTAGCCAAAAATAAAGCTCTGACATCACGAGACCATACTGCGCAAATCCAGAGCTGTTCTGGAATAGTTCCAGGTAGAACAAACAAGGTTTCTATTTTACACCATGATACATCACAGCAAAATGTGAAAATATAAACGTGAAAGAATAACAACCGATTCTCTACTGACATTCAAAATACATCTTATTTTCAAGTGACATACAACTTTGGGAGCCTATGGTGGGTTCTGAAACAGTAGTCATACATTTCTTATCGCGAGGATTCTAGTTCATATCGCGCGACTTTGGTTAACAGTGATGAAAATAGCGTACGCAAAGGAAAATATTTGGCTGGCGCTGGCATGTAACAGACCTATATGTCCACCAATACATAATAAAGTGTGCGTCTAATGTTGAAATGTTGAACAATTTTTGACATATGAGGTAGCTGCCATTCTAGCGTCTTGACAAAAAGCGCTGCAAAAAGCCCCCACAAAGCGTATTCCGCTGAAACTTTCATCGCGAGAATTTAATAGCAACTGTGAAAAAAGAAACAATTTTTATAAGTGAATACCTTCATGTAAAGATAATTCTTCTTTTACAAAATAAACTTTTAACTTTACATACGAAGTCCAATCTGGCATCACATCCGGCTTATTTTTATTTCTTTCCCATAACGGCGTTATTTATGTAGATTTAGTTTAACTTTTGCATACTTAAGCAAATTGTGTAAAACAAGTTTGCAACGTAACATAATACTTTTTACGATTATTCTAACAGCGCGATTTCAGCATATGAAAGCAATACAAACAAGTATCGTAAGACTTGGCACAACTTATGTTTTTTCGGTGTGATTCATAATCTGCAAAACCAGGAATATGCTAAAATGGCACATAAAACGTGTTTTAGATTCCTCATAACACTACAGGTATTCAACATTTCACACTAGAAACTGACACCAAATTGTATCTTTATACCTATGTGAGAGAGATATGAAAGTAATATCAAGGAGTAGTTATACCAAGAGAGGATACTGCACGGAATGTCTTTGAAAGCCGCGGGTCGTCGGCTTCATTGATCTTTGGTTTGAGTGAACAGCCCTTGTTTTGGCTATGATATGTTTTATATTGGAGATTAGCAAAAGGTAAACTCAAATCGCACGTCCATAACAAGCTACTAGTCATAATGATAGTGACAAGCATAAATGTAGAACTCATGCGAGGACAAGATGGTCTTAGACAAAACTAAATAATGGCGTCAAGTAGGTTGAGTCTACACTTCCACGCAACGCCGTCATCATTTCATAAAGGATTATGTTTAGAACAAGACCTTATCGAAATGAGACAAGCCTAGACCACGCTGAAGAGGTACAGAGCACCAGTCATGCAGGACACATACGAACACCGGAACGCCGTTCATGTCCACAGATGCAGCGACGCTTGCCGAAAACATTTTTAAGAAATTATCATGATCCTCTGGAACGTCAAGATTCTCCGCCCCCGTTAGACCAATTTTCAAAAACTACGAAGTTTTTTCGTCCTTGGCAAAGTAGTAACCTTGTGTGGAAATTCCTTCAAAATCCGAGTTATAAACGGGCCAAGGATTACCGGACAGACAGATATACCATATAGGCAGACAGAACGACGGAAATGGGTGACAGTTTTATGTGATGTCATACAACATCCAAAAAACATAATATCTTATTTTAGAATTTTTTTGCGAGTCCAATACTTCCTCGCCAGTAGGCGTGAGAAGTAAAAAATTTATACGAGTGAGCTTACACAAGCAAACGTTCGCGTACACATGGACATGTGAGGGAGCTGGATGTGAAACTGTGAAAAGACTTCAGTTGTCTTATTGTTGCATATTTTCCAAAATATGCTGCGAGCTCTACATTATTAGAAAATATATGACAAGCACGCATTTTAACGACCAGATTTGCAAAATTATGAGTACCTGATCTAATACCTAATGAAACTCCCAATGATCCATTGTTAACGTGAAAGAATAACTAGAATGTCGGCGATATTTTGTGATTGCTGTGATCGACACACTTGCATAAATATTTTGTACCGTATAAAGTCTAATTGGATGAAAAATATATCTGTAGTAGCAAAAATGGGCGATAAATGTCCCAATCATGAATGAACAAAAATTAATTTGAACTCTAAAGCTTAATCGTCAGCTAACAAGTAATGGATGAATCCAAAAAGATTATCTATCTGACAATACCATGCAACTGTCGCTAAGTAACAACATGTGGTTAGACGCCATCAGCTATCTCACTCTAATTTAATCGCCGTGTCTATCTTCTCTTGACATAACTACTCTTTAGCCCATACAAAACCAGGCTCGAGGCTAGTCCTAGACAACTCATTTTTCTGTCATATACTAATGTTCGACAATTCCCGCGGTTCACTCGTCTTTTTTCGTGTCTTCTCTTTCCGCTACCTTTTTATCCTGTTCTAATCTTTTCTTTTCATAGTCTTCCTTTGCGACATTCCTTAGGTGAGTTTCCATGCTGCTGCCAGTTTCCGCTACCATCTTGGAGAAGAAACCATTCGGTTTTTGCAGCAACTCGTGAGGATGAGCGAACTCCACACATTGGCCTGCGTCCATTACTACAACCTGATAATTGATATATACGATGAACTCTAGTTCAAGACCGAGTGTACTTTAAAAGATAGGAGGTCTGTAAATTAAGTGATGAGACTGGCAACGTAGCGTTCGATCTGGCAACACTGGAGGCGCCGGACTTGGAGGAGAGACAGGAGAACCTGTGATCCGGCTTGAATCCGTTTGAACTCGCTCGAGTCATTTGGTTGTCCGAAGCGACTTTTTTGTGAAACAGTGTTTTCTATTGTATTCTAGTGACATCAACTTCGAGCAAAGGTGTGCTATCAAGTTTTGCTTCAGACTTGGACACACTTCAACAAAAACTCTTGCTAAACTTCAGCAGGCCTGCGGAGATAGTTTTATCTCAAAAGCCAAGGTTCTTCGGTGGTTTAAGGCATTTCCAGAAGGGAGAGTGTCGATTGAAGATAAACCAACTGATGAAAATATCGGCAGAATCCGGGATCTTGTGTGTTCAGATCGTCGGTTGACAGTCAGACTGATCGGAGAAGAGTTACATTTCACTCACACTATCGTTAATCAGATCAAAACCAACTGGGTGTTGCATCACGATAATGCTCCTTGTCACACAGTAATGTGAATAACCAAGTTTTTGGGCAGTAAAAACATTCCTGTGGTTCCTCAGCCTCCATATTCGCCTGATTTGACTTTATTCTATTCCCGAAGTTGAAAACTCACCTCCATTTGGGACAGTCGAAAGCATACAAATGCCTGTAATCGATCAGCTGGTGGCTATTCCAGTATCGGAGTTCTAGCTGCTATGAAGAGTGGAAGAACCATCTTCAGCGCTGTGTGGCTTCAGAAGGAAGGTATTTTGAGGGTTGACAATATAAAATTGTAATTTGAATAAAAGAAAAATAGCGTAGCCTTCTGACTTGCTAAAATTGATAGGCTTACTTTCCATCTCTGTAACAATGTCCAACGAAAGTGGATTGGGCTGTTGAAAAACTCAAAACATTGTGCGCAAGTAGATGAAAATCCGACTATCGCCACCTTCCAATCGCTTGTCAAGTTGATTCATATCCTCATCTCATATGATGAAGATGTCAAGGGTATCTGTCAGCGGAACAATAAATTCTAGTAGTATAAGATATAAGTTACCTTATCTGAATCCATTATGGTATTTAGTCGATGTGCGATTGTTAGTACTGTACAATCTTTGAAATTCCTTCTTATGGTTTTCTGGATAAGAGCATCAGTTCTGAAAAAAATTAAATATATTGATGTAACGTCTATCAACGAATTTTTATTGTTATAGATATTAAAGATCGACCGATATAGGACCGATGCCGTGATATCGGCGATATCGGTCTAGCAGCCGCTGGTTTCTTTCAAAAATAATTTGCAGAAATCTGCAGAGGTCACACATACGTGCCGTCAAGTAGACTGAACCTGCACTTATCGCCGTTATCAATTCTCCAAAACATGAGACCAGTTTACAGATTTCTTTTACTTTCCTGTTAAATTCAAACACAATCACAGTTTTTTTGTGGGATTTCAAAATAAATTGCACATTAACATTGCCGCATATTCTAATCCACAAGATGGCATAATTAGAAGTTCAATATGATGTTTTGTCTCTTGTCCTCTAGCATGAAATTTTATTTTTTCTCAAGGACACCAATTTTTGCATAGGTGAATAGTTCTTAATTCTGATTCCAAAAATGTCATACATTGACATTCCCAAACCTTGGTTACGTGAAAAAAAAATTGCTGGGTATATCTTGAAATTATCAGATAGTCATTTGTTTCATATCGGCAAGTCATTGTTCTGTTTCCGTCTTTATTTGAGATAGGATTTCTGAATAAATTGTTATTGCCACTGTGTTTCCTCTACAAGATGGGGTAGTCAAATTTTCAATTCACGGTATCTCCTTTCGACTTCCATCACCAACTTTTTTTCATATGGAAGCTATATAGAAATTTTGTACAATTAAATGGAGTTTCCATTTCGTTATAATTTTTGTTCCAACAACATATTCATGGCCAACTAAGGGAATAACGCTGAATTTAGGACTGACAAATCAATGTATATGTACAAAATTCTAATATAGTGTCCATGTGAAACAACAAAGTTAGAGATGGAAGTCGAAAAAGTGGCAATACCAATAATATGAAATTAATTTTAAAATCCCAACTCAAAGAAAGCCCTAAAAGAATGGAAATGATTTTGCGATAAATCTGGCATATGAAACGAAACGACAGATAATTTCAAGTCATACTTAGGAAATTCTGATTTTATTAATAACTAAGGTTTGGCAATGTCAATGTAAGTATAACAATCATTTGGAATCAGAATTGAAAACTCTATTCACCTGTGCAAAAATCCAGTGTAACGACCTTACGAAAAAAAGTTGGAGAACAAGACACGAAACGTCATTTTGAAATTCTAATTATGTCATCTTGTAGAGGAGAAAACGTGGTAACGTTAATGTGCTATTTATTTTGAAATCCCACTAGTGAGATGAAAATTAAAGCGACTTTGAAAAAAATTGTTTTTTCTGTCTCTCTTTGTAAGTACTTCGAAGTTTCTAAGTGACATTTTGTTAGTTACCTAAATGTGCAGATTTTGTCCTATTTAAGCGACTTCGTATATCTTTTAATTTCCGGGATCCCAATGGTGAGGGTCGAATTTGAAACACCCGGAGTATTTATATGATTCAATAATAGATTTATGAAATATTAATGTTTGGAAATTGTTAACTGACTTGATCTTCTTAACTCAATCCTCCATCCAGATGTTGTAACCTCATAACCCCTAACTTCATCGAAACATCGATGGGTACCCGTACTTTTGTGCACTAGTGTACCATTAATATTGACGATTTATGAATCGCTTCTGAATGCCTGTTACCTCGCAACCATTTTTGTCTCGTTAAAAAAAAACGGTGAGCAAAAAACAGGCGATCAGACGACGCTTTCAGCCGGTCGGTAATCAGCAGCAAAAGCTGTTAGTTGCAATTTAATTTTCACAATTGTTCTATTCACCGAATTCGAGGCGCGAGTTGTGTGATTGACGGGGAGTGTGTATATTTGATCGAAGGTACTTTCTGGACATTCAGTGGACATTGCTGCTTGTGTGATTTTGAAGGAGCCATTTGGTGTTGCATAAACTGGTACGCTTGATTTTGAAGTAACAAGTAAAAAATTGGTGACATTTATAATGCATCTATTTCCCTATATAAATAGGCGAGTAGTTACTATGTCATCTCAGAAGTTTGTGAAGTTCCGATTGATATTATACTACATAGAAAGTGATCGAAATTTTAACACCAAATTTCGCAAAATAGCCGAGATATCGCACCTTAATGTTAATAGTTTGTTGAAGCTCCTCTGTTCCCTACACATTAGTGAAGTCGTCGTGGCATTGATTGGATTAGGCGATTGATGTCTTCTTGGCGTATTGTATTCCAGGCCATCTCAATTTGATGTCGTAGAGCCTCCAATGTTTGCGGAGGGTGTGGTGAATTTTGCAACCTTCTTTCCATCATGTCCCATACATGTTCGATGGAGGAAGAGTCTGGAGACCGACGAGGCCACTGAAGCAGATTTACTCTGGACGCTTCTGTAGTGTGTCTTTAATGTCCAGTATCTCTAACTCGTCGATATCGGCTTTTTTGGAACCACGCTCGACAAAATCTCATTGCAGTAGCTTCCTTTCGATTCACCCGATTACCGATTTCTCTAAAAGAAAATGCGGCTTCACGTAACCAGATTATCCGCCCTCTCTCAAACTCGAAAAGTTGAGTGAAATTAGCGCGTCTGTGAACTCTAAGCATGATAATTCACTGAGACAACAATGAAACAAATGGAACGAAGATTCAAAAATCACTGAATATTAAGTAAATATGTTCGTATTGTTCGTATCTTGATATGACAAAAAAAGCCTTTACAAAAAAGTACGGCTCGGAATACCTTCAACATTTTATTAGAGTATACTTTCATGATAGCAAATGTGATTTCAAGTTTCTATCACAAAATAAATAAATAATTCTGGGTGTTGCATTTTATATGTCACTTAGTATATATTGTGTTTACTCAAAGTAAACAGTGCGGTTCTATTTTTGAAAATAGATGCACGGTTGCCAGACATTGGAGACATTATCAGATGTGCTATATTTCAAATTTTTAATACAAATTAAATATGATAGTATATCACAGCAGTAAAAACAATTCTATACATACCTCGGTGGTAAGGTCATTATAATAAATGCATACGTATCCACCACGGAATGTAATTGACTATTAATCACGAAAATTTTCACATATCAGTTAACAAGTTTTGCTCTAGTGGCCGCGGACTTATGAGCAGAAATAACAATAAGATCAGATCAAATCAGATTGTAGAACTCACACATGGTTTTAAATTAGGAAGTTTTAAAGTTTACGGCGAAATATCTTTAAATCGTTGACTCTTTTGATAGAATCCGGGAGGCACATGTATGTACATGTTCAGACAAGTATAAATTGAGCCTTTCACAAGTTTTGATTTACAGTAATGGACAAAAGTATATAGACATTAATATTGATCTGTATTTCTTATTTAACTTGTGTTATTAATACACTATCCTGTATACATAATTCGTTATATCATAATACTCACTTATACATAAATAAATTCATTAGACTCCCTTCAATAAAAAATTAATTGAAAAGAACTGGAACTAGGAAGGACAAAAATATATAGACAAATCCTTTTCAACATCAGTTCAGTACAGTTTCGTGTCAGAAGAGGATTAGTTTGTGTTCATCAAGTATTGTGGAATAAGTTGAGTGATTTTAAGACCATGCCGCGTGGTCCAGAAGTTTCTTTCGATGTGAAAACTAAGATCATTGAGTTATATGTATGCAAAAAATCATAACCTTCAGTTGAACCCTTTAAAATCGAAAGTCATCATTTTTTCACCAAAACTATTTAGAAGTGATGCCAAAAGAAATTTTAAAGTAAAATTAAATGGTGAGACTATAGAAGTGAGTCAGTGAAAAACTTGGGCGTAACTTTAGATGAATGTCTAAATGTTATAACACATGTAAATAATATCAGTAAGAGTTGTTTTTCAATTTTTACGTCAATTATATCTTAATAAACAATTTCTTGACTTTACAACTAAAAAAATTATGTGTGAATCTTTGGTAATGTCCAAAATTAGTTATTGCGATTTAGTGTATCTTCCATTTCTTGACTCAATACCTCTAGCACGTCTCCAAAAAATCCGAAACTCATGTTGTAGGTTGATCAATAATTTGAAAAAATATGATCATATCAGCCCTTTTTTCAATGACATGAAGTGGTTGAGAGTAAATGAACTGTGTGAGCTACACCTAGTTACTTATACCCACAGGCTTTTGCTGTCATCCATTCCGCCGTTTTTGAGAAATAAGCTGATATCTAGAAGCAATATCCATTCTAGGGACATTCGATTCACTGAAACACTCACAATGCCCCTCCACAGGAGATCATTATTTCGTAAATGCTTCACCTACAACGCAATTATTTTTTACAATGCTCTACCTCGATCCACAAAATTGCTATCACATGATGAATTTAAAAGACATATGAAGACATTTATTTTAAATAGAAATATATAAATTAGTTGATAAAATTTATCTGTCACCTCAAACAAAAATATTTCCAATAGTATTCCTTTGTTTTGTATCACTGTTACAATTTTATACTTTTAAATCATAAAATATTGAATAGCCTTCACTTACTATATATATGTTATATACCATATTTTTTATACACCTACATTTTTAAACTTCTAACTTATCAAATGTATTTATGTTTTTTTCCTATTGTTTTTTCAGTTTTTCTTTTTTTTGGGGGTTGAGTGGCAGAGTAGCATTATGCTAAACTTCACCCCCTAAATAAATAGAGACGATTTATTATACAAAGATGGTCAACGTCAAGTCGACATTGCCCCAAATTTGAAGCTAAAGCGTAAAGCAGTGTGGGCAATATTGAACAAATATAAATAAGAAGGTATCTTGGAAGAGGTGAGTCGGCCTAGAAAACTAAATGCTAGATCAGTTAGATTAATAAAAATAATTTCGTCCAAAGATCCGTTTAAAACCCCAAGTCAAATAAAAGCCGAAATCGAGACAAAAGGAATGGTCAGTGTTTCTATGAAAACTAAAAGCGGGTCTGTTATGGTTTGGGGGTGCTTTTCGGGGTTTGGGACGGGACCTTTACATAGAATA